ATTGAAATGACAAGTTCACTTTTGAAGGTTTTGTTCTCTGTGACAAGGCTGAAGTTATCTCCTCTGCCGAAACGCAGAAAAACAGAATTGTAATGGCAATTAATTTACATTCAAATAGCTCTTTTCATCCACCTGGATCCTGCAGAGCCCTGAACTTTGCTAGCTGAGCACACAGAACAGGGAATGGGACTCATTCATCCCATGGAGACGCAGGCAGTCAGTGGCAGGAGCCGAGGTGGTTCTCGGGAATCAGAACGGACGGAGATGTTATTGATCATCTCTGTGAAGAGCCAACGTGTCCGTTTCCTTTGGCATCAGCATGTGGATAACACCCATCTCCACACGCTCAGTGTGTAAGTCACAGCTCATCAGGAGTGTGGCCTGGGTTGTGCCCTCAGATCTGTCCTGGAGTCACTGGCTGCCTCCGGGTGAGACATTTGTGCTGCCTGATTTTTGCTGACATTTGTGCTGACGGGTCTCCTGCAAGAGGCCCTTGGGAAGAACAAGGGAACAAGTATGACCTCCCTCTTCTCTGACTTCTCGGCATCACCCAGATCTGGATCAGTCCCTGGGGATTTACTGCAGAGACATTCCTCTGGAGGGGGAGGAGAGAGCAGGCCTGGGGCAGCAGGCTGCCTTCAAGTGCCTTCAAGGGGCAGGATGGAGCAGAGCAAGGAGCCACTCCAGGGCATTCCCTGCACGTGGTTAGGAAAATCAGAGCTGGGGAAACACCGAGGTGCAGGTCCAAGCCTGTCTGAGGCCATTCCTGATCCATCTGCCAGCAGCATCCCCAGACCCATGGGTCTGCCCCCACAGCTGGATCAGTAGGGTGCCCACCGAGGTTTGAGGGGTTGGGTCCAACTCTGCGTCAGCCACGGCACTAAATCAGAAGGAAGCACCCCTGGACATCCATAGCAATGAGCTGTTCCAAGGATTCACATGCCCCTCATCCTACATGTCCATCCACACAGTCAGGGAAGGTGGTGAAGTCAGAGCATCTGGGACACAGAAGGATCCCATCCAATGTCTCCAGCTGTATCTCACCGAGCTGTGCTTGGAAGTGGGTGCAGGAGTGAATGGATCCTAGTGCAGGGACATTCATGGCCTTAGCCTGGAGTATCCAAAGTATCCTCAAGTATCCATTCATGGCCTTAGCCTGGAGTATCCAAACTGTGGCTCAGACTCCTCCAGCAGAGCCGGTGTCACCATGGGGCCATGCTGTTTCTTTGGGTAGTTTTAAAGGGAGTTGCCTGGGACAAGGTTTACAGGTGTTCCCAGCTTCCATCAGCAGCCTCTCCTCTTCTCTGAGCTCCTGGCTTTGCTTCTGGTGACTCCCTCCCCAGCCAGCCTTACATGCTGCTTCTCCTTCTCCTTTTTGTCAATTCCCATGCTCTGAGTACAGGGTCTTACATGAATCCCCTCCTGCCAATCACAAGGAGTTATAACCAGCTCTTTTCAGATCATTACGGAGTTCATTTCTCCACAAGAAAGAGATGCCCTGAATTGCTTCCTCACACATGTACGTATTTTTAATCTGCTGCTTTGTTTTGTGCGGAGGGAGACTCAGGCATTGGATGGCTGCCCTGGCACAGCCTGCTGCCAAATGCCAAAAATAGCGAAAAAAATAAAATCTTTTCTCCCTTGTTGGCCTCAAATCCACTGAGAACGGGGGAAAAGCATTGAGGTGCATCTGCCATGACCATCCCTGCTGGTGGAGTGGCCAAGGAGAGAAAAGCATCTCACCCAGAGACAGTGCTGCCATGGGGGGGTTCTGGTTCCACACCTGGTGTTACCTGCTGCATTCTCTCCCTGGGGCTCGGCCTGAAGTACCTCCTGTGCCTGGCAGGGACAGGGCCCTGTCCCACTCAGATGTGATGGAGGAAAAAACAGAGGGGAAAAACCAGAAAAAATGAGGCAGCGTTGAAAAAAGTTACAACCACCCACAAAATGGGTTTCTTATCTCTAGTTTCTCCCTCTCTGCTACTGGGCAGCAAAACTACACAAATTATCAGAAACCTTTAGCTGAGTTTTCCACAGAGCTGCTCCCACTGTTTTCCCAGAGAGATGTTCAGACAGACACCAAACCCACACTAGGGACCAGCCAGCCTGTGCAATATTTGGCTGAGCATTTTGCTGCCACTACCACCCTGCTAAATTGAAATGCTGCCTTGGATTAACAAAAAGCAACTGCTAATGGGAGAAAACTCCACAAAACTCCCTTCTGCCCCTGCACCCAGGACCATGTCCTGGCCCAGGAAAGCCTCTCCCTCTGCCCTCAGCCCGGGGCGAGCCACCTCCAGGCACTCCTTGTCTTTATCGCCAGGTTAATTAGCACCTCAGTTTCTGCTTTGCAATTAACCTACTTTAAACAAGGCAAAACAGATGCCTTGGAGAGGATCTGGGACACCCAGGAGTGGACAGAAACCAGCCCAAGCTGAGACAGGGATCAGATCAGATCAGATCTGCGGCCGCAGGAGAGCGATGGGCCGGGGGGGTTCTGCTGCCCAACCCCAGCCCAGCGTTGTGGCTGCCACAGGGTGGGTCTGGTGTTCCTCTTTGTCTTTCCTGCTTCCTATGAACATATTAAAAAGCAGTGACCCAGGTGCACATCTTTCTGAAATCTTCAGCTTGCAGCTTTATTTTGTGATGGGCCTGTACAGTAAAAACCACATTAGTTGCTCCCTGTGGGTAGATAAAGGCTTGGTTTATATCCTAAATAAAGTTGGGAAATCACTGGGATATTTTTGGTTCAGTATCTGAACAGCCAAACAAAGTTTAAAAAAAAAAATTAAAATAGCAAAAATTATAGACTTTGAAAAAATCTGACTTGGGCTGGGAGATGTGAAAGGGCACAAAAGTGGGAGGAAAGGGTGAAAGAGGAGGTGAAGAACTGAAGGTTGTGAGTGTGCTTAGAGGAAAAAAGAGCCCATCCATCCAACCACACAGCCATCCATCCAAGTCCTGTCAGCCAGCCACAGGACACAAACACACCTCTCCCACCTGGTTTTCGGTTATTTATCCCAGTCTGCCCTCCTGTCTCATCCTTTTGCTTACTGAAGAAAGAATATTCCAGGCTCTGAGCACCCCGTTGTTGGCTCCCTGTTCCCACTTAGCACCAGGCATGCATTTCATTGCAGAGTTTCTCTTATTTTTAATATATTTCCATAACTCGTTCTTGCTGCCTTTAATGTTTTGCTGTATCCTGCCATTCCCTCGCATCCCGGACGCTGGTGCTGCTCCTTCCCAAGCCCTGTTCTCACACTTTGCAGGAGTCCTGTTTGTTTTCTGGTCACTCCTGAGGCAAACCCAAGGTCTGTGCTCCTAATCCTTGTGTAACACCAGCAAGTCTGTCCCTGAGTGGTTCTGAAGGAGAACTGCCCACCCGTGTCTTCTATCGCCAGGATCTGTTTTTCTCATGGGAAAGCACGTACGTCCAGGAGTGTGTTTGCAGGGAGTTTCCATGGCCCTGGCATGGACACAGTCCCTGTTTTCCATAGGAGCTCGGATCTGATGGAGAACAATGCTGGCCTGAGCCTCACTTTCCCCACTCAGTGTCACTGAGCCGAGCACATGTGTTTACTATGAACACAAATTAACAGGCAAGATGAGTTAATTAGAACTAAACATTAAACTAATTGCTTCCCCTTTCAAGGGCTTTGAAGTAAAAGCAGTACATGAAATTTTTCTCTTCTTGATTCCTTTTTCCTACCAAGCATCAGTGTTTGGGAATGCTGGAAGATGTCTTCTTCCCAAAACCTAAACAATTTCCTTGGGAAATTTGACCTTTTCCACACTTCAGGAAACTGAAGTGTTGAATTTCTCTCTTCTACCTTCCTGACCTCTCAAAAGTGGCTGAGGGGGAGGGAGCTCTACAGGAGTCCTACCTGAGCGTTGGGCACTGACACAGGTGGGTTTGGGGAAATCTACAGTAGAAGACTGGAAAAGCCAGAAAGTGTCACTGATACAGAAGTGCCATCTCCTGTGAGATCGGTGGGATGGGGTGACTATGGCTTGGAGAAACTGCAGGCCAGGGCCCTACTCAGCAGGCCACAGCACTTGGCAGCCTCTAAAGAAAGGAGAAGGACAATCCAGACCTGTAGAGATCAGCACAGAAGCTGCTGAAAAGCCTCTTGTCCCTGTCCAGGCACCAGCACCTCTGGTTAAAGCTTATCAAGGCTCTAGAGCTGGGGACAATCCTGGCTTCCCCTTTTCTCAGCACAGAGCTCACATATCTGTGCCACCAGCTCAGAGGCTCAGTATTTGTGTTATCCCTTAAGACTGAGGACTGCACTGTGCCAGGGACCCATCGCTGCAGGGTGGATGGGAGCTCCATCAGAGTGGTCTGGTACAGACAGGGCTCAGCACAGCAGCTGTTTTAGAGGAACTTTGTAATTTTATTTTGATGAGTCAAAATGATAAAGTTCTCTCATCTTCTGGTTTTGGTGTATCTCCTCTTTCTCATATTACACTGCAGCAATGATAACATTCAGCCACCCCTTACTGTAACCCTGGTAAAGGCTGAAATAACACCACAGTCCCAGGTATTAAAGGGTGAGAGAACTATGTGAGAGCAGAACCTGCACTCACCTTGCTCTGCTCTGTTCTCCTGGCAGGTGACAGCCACCAGGTCAGTTGGATGATGGCTGCGAGCTCCAGCCCTTCTAAAATAGAAATAAAATAGACATTAAAATAGACATTGTTAGGAGGAGACCTTATAGCAGGCACTCAGATCCCATGGGAAGACTAGTTTAAGGCCTTAACTGTTTCTTAATATTATTAAACAAGTCCAGCCTGCTTTTCATCTTGATACAAACTTAGCATAAGTATTTGGGAGCTTGTCTTCATTAGTAAAAACCATCAAGAAAGGATGTGGGTAGTTAACCCCAACAGATGCATGCTTAAGCCTTAGACCTCTACATTTTTTTCCCAGTAATTACGAATGCTTTTGGAGAATTCTGTCTGTGTCAGATGAACTGCAGGGGCTGTTTCTCTCCCCCCAGGTGCCACGAGCCAGGGCCCTGTACACCTACCGTGGGCACAACCCCGGGGAGCTGCGGTTCAACAAGGGGGACATCATCGTGCTGCTCCGGCAGCTGGACGAGAACTGGTACCTGGGGGAGGTCAACGGGATCAGTGGCGTTTTCCCAGCCAGCTCTGTGCAAGTCATCAAGCACCTGCCCCTGCCCCAGCCCCTCGGCAGGGCCCTCTACAACCTCGACCTGCGGAGCCGGGACAAGGCGGAAAACAAGGACAGCCTGACCTTCCATAAGGTACCACCCGCGGCACCGGGACACAGCTCCCCTGCAGTGCACGGTGCTCTGCCACTCCCCAGATCCTTGGGAGCTCCTTTTGGGTATCAGGACGGTTCTGAAGTCCCCTCAGACACTGCTGACAGCAGTTAAACACCCCCAATGCCCCACAGGCACACAGAGGAACAAGGGGCACCCAGAGAGGGATGCAGGTGCCCCCCAGTTCAGCCAGGGCCAGCTCAGCGCGTCGCAGGCGGCATTCCCAGTGCTCCCAGTGCTGCAGCTCTGGAGGCCATCCAGCCACTCCGCTCCCTGACAGAATTTTTTAGCACTGGTCTAGACATTAATTGTGTTGTGCAGCTTAGTTTGAGATGCAGAGTGTAAATGGCACCAGCACCAATTCCTAGAAATAAAATTAATACTTTATTATTTGTAATGTAATACTTGTAATGCCCATAATTACAGCAAGCTCTGCTTTGTGGCTGTTCTATAGGAGGACATGAGCAAAACACCTTATTTGAAGCTCTAATAGATTTTGTAAAATGTCTTTTCATTTAATGAAATCATTTTAGCTTCAGTAATGACTTATATTTAAGTCTGGCGTTAACAGACACAAGTTAGTCAGGGACACATAGACCCACCAAGGAATTAGAAATTAATTCTGGAGAAGGCAAAGGTAGGGCTGCTGGTGAGAGACACAAGGCTTCTCTTGGCTCTGACACGCAGTTTGTGCCCCCTTTTTTCGCATCTCCTGGTATTTGGAGAGGCAGAAGAATGTTTCCAGTTCAGGCTAGAGCTTGATCACAGAGAGAAATTACAAGATGGCCATGGCACACATGTACATACGCACACACTGTGGGCTTTAAACTTAGTTTGGAGAGGGAAAATGTGGAAACAACTCCTGCTGTAAAATGACAAAGCCTGGGAGCCGTGTGCACCTCTCCTGCCTCAGTCCCCTGTCCATCCCTGGCGTCGGGCACGTTGCCTCCCACGAGTGGGTGAGAATCTCCAAGTTTTGCAATTCGTCAATGTCAGCAGTAAATCATGATTAATTCCTCTGGCACCCATCGAGGGGAAAAACACTGTCACCACATGCCCTTTGCTATTAACACCCTGATCAGCAGTTTCCAAGAAATACTGTGTGAATGCTGCCCATATGCAAACTCGGGGCTTGCCTCTCCCTCATTAACCCCAATGCTTAACAAGCCAGGATTTTTTCAATGGAAGCAGCAGCAAGCCATGAATGTTCAGGCTGAGGGAGATGGAATTGGGTGGATCTAATGCTGCTGGGAAAGTCACCACCAGTGATGGCCTCTCTGAGCCCGTGCCCTGCCTTCAGCTGCAGGGCTTGGGTGTCCCGCTGCAAGATGCACCCATATGTGCCAACATAGATGGGGAAAGGGAGATGTATCTAAATGTCTCTTCTAATTCAGAGTTAGAGTTATTAAGCACTGTGAAAGAGCCAGTCAGCTCTCCCTGCACCTCTACCAGCCAAAGCCTTGGACAAGGAACGTATCAGGGGGAGCACTGAACCTCAATAAACCCTTGTCTCAGCAACAAGATTTTTAAACGAATTTAATTTTGCTGTCAGCTTCACATCAGGAATTTTACACCCAGGATTTGTCACTGATGACAGATGAGGAAAATGACTGAGCCCCAAGGTTTTAAAGATCACCAGTAACGTCACCTGAACCCTGCCTGCAGCTCTGCTGCCAGATCGGAAAGGGGAAACGGAGCAGTCGGGGGCTGTGCCAGGTGTAACTTCTGAAACCACATCACATCTCCCTTTGTCTCCCCCAGCCAAACACCACCGCCCGGCAGCTCCTGCAGACCTCCAAAACCCACTGGTCCCCTCAGTTTAAAAGCGCGTCCCTGCGAACGGTGTCTCCCAAGGCGAAGGGCGCGGATTCGCCGGCTTTCCCCAAGGTGCCCGACTCCAGGAGGAAGAGCCTGCGGCAGTTCTCCATCACCACAGCCCTCAACACCCTCAACCGGATGGTCCACGCGCCTGCCGAGCGCCCGGCCCTGGAGATCAGCTCCCCTGTGCTCATCAGCTCCAGCAACCCCACCGTGGCCACCCAGAACAGCGAGAAAGCAGAGTTCCCCTACAGCACCCCTGTCCAGGTAAGGCAGTGGCAATGCCAGTCTGCATCCTAAAGCTGGGACCATCCTGATTTGGGGACTGAGACATAAATGTAGACCAACCTTTTGGACTGTATCCACTCTGTTTTAGGAGGCAGAAGAGTCTCATTCCTTCTTCCCGCTCTGACTAAAGATCTGAGTCCAGAATCTTCACAGATCATCTGAAACGGGAGAAAAAGGGGTTTCTTTAGATTTATGTGACATCTTTCATAATCAAGGTTGTTCCAACATTTTATAAAGCAATCACTCAGCCCCTGGCAGTTCACATCTGGACAATAACACCCAGCAGGCATTCTGTACTGAGCACCAGCCTGCAAAGAGCCAGCATGTGAGATCCTGGGTTGTGGAGGGGAAATGAAGCCTTACAGAGTTCCATAACTCAATTGAAACAGTATCATGTCTCACACCCCCAGTGGGATCTTACCCAAAATGTTTGAACTACTGCCAAGAGCAGAAGCAAGAAAGGGAACATTTACTGTTCGGCCTTAGAAGGGTTGGGATTTCCTTGTTTCCAAGCAGCAGTGTTGCTCCCAGAGGTCTGTGGCTGGGAGGGGGGGGATCTGTGCTATTCCTGAGGCTGCACAGGATGCAGCTTTCTCTTTCCACCTCTGGGTTTGGCCTGCAATGACTGAGCTGCAAAGCTGAGATTCCTTTGCAAGCTCAGGTGGGCACTGTGAGGGTACCTGAGAGGCCGAGGGGACAGGAGGCTGCACCCGGGCACAGCCAGCGACAGCGCACGGCTGGAGGAGCGAAGCGGGAGATGCTGCGCTGGGAGGTTGTCGGGCTCCCCACAGCACCACCTGCCTGCCTGGCACTCCCACCACCACCGAGCCGTCGGACTCCTTTCAGCCCATAAAAGGGAATAACCGGCACTGCCCCAGCCTTCCTCCTCCAGCTCTTCCTTCCCCTCGGCGGTGCCAAGCCGGGCTCAGACGGAGCCAGAACCAGTTTGCAGGGCTGTGGCCGCCGTGTCTGTGCATGTGCCTGTTGCGCAAGCGGCTGCGGGGTGAGGGCAGCGGGGCGCCCGCCCGCTCCACCACGGAATCTCTTCCTAGTCACAACTGAGCTTATTCCCTGGACCTGGCGCTCCCTGGGCCAGGGAACGTCTGTCTGGGAGCTGCTGCTCCCCTTTGCCGCTCGGTGAAGGGAGCTGATAAACCCCACAGCTGCCCTTCGCTTTTCTGTGCACTGAATGATGTGGAACCTGCAGGACCCAACATCCAGCAGAGCACTGAGAGCTCCCATGGCCCCCTGATGAGATGAGGAAAGCCTCCCTCCCCACAAGGCAGTGCATGGACACTCTCGGCAGGGACTTGCCTGTGTCAGCAGTGCTGGGAATCACGATGATGACACACTAGAACGGGAGATGGAGTAAGAGAGGGATTTCAGGAGAGGCAGGGAGTTAAACCCTTTGTACTTACAAGGGCTCGCAAGGTACTTGCAGGAGGATCAGCAAAAGCGAATGCTGAAACCAGTTATACATGGCTGGAAAATATTTCATCCAGTCTTTTTTCCTCTCTGTTGCAAACGCAAAGGCAGCTTTGAGGAGGCTAAAGGATAGCTGCTCCCAGGCAGAGGGAAACATAGAGATTAAAAACGTGGGGCTTTCCAGCCAAAAGAGGACACTTCAACACAGTTCCATCAGGAATACCCATAAAAGGCTGTAATTTTTCTCCAATGCAGGAAAAACAAACTCTGAATCCCAAAATTTCAAACGTTTTGATTATGATAATTATTAAAGTAGAATTATAGTTTCCAATCCACTTTATGAACACAACTGGTCTGACCCTGCCTGGACTAGCAAATGAGGAATGCAGAGATGGTTTGAAGCTGACCTGCCACGCCAGGTCCGAGACAGAAGCTGGAATTGCTGGGGTGTTTTAATTAACTTAATTTACTGGAGAGCACCAGAAGTGTTGAGTCACTTTTCTTTTTCCCTAGGTCCTTGCCAAGCCAGTGCTCCAGCACCACGTTACAGACTTGACCACTAGAAATTAGATTTGAAATGAACACGAGATTAAAGCCCCAGTTTGCATCATTACAGAGCCTGTGGTCATTTCTGGAGAGCATGACTGGCAGCCACATCCCAGCCCAGAGACGTTCCACTGCTCTGAGCTTCCCGGGACATTGCTGCCGCTGCCCTGCCTTGCTGGGAGCTCTGTTCCTCCTGACAGCAGCCACACTCCTGCCACCACACAGCACAGCACAGTTGTGGCACAGCTTGGCACAGCCACAGCACAGTCATGGCACAGCCATGGCCCAGCACAGACACGCCAGCACCATGGCTGTCGCCTTCCAGCGTGCACAGCGCTGGATTCCAAACGGGAATGAGCTGTTGCCGGCAGCAGTTCACCCCAGGGCACGTTTTGTGCTGCAGAAGGGACAGCTCAGCAGAAGAGCATCCCAAGGATGCCAGGCTGCCCACTGCCATCCTCCCTCCACACAGCAGCGTCTCCTGTGTGGAGAGGCTGGAGCAGCACCGAGTGCTCCCTCATCACCCCCACCCCAAGGGCTGCTGTGCTGCCAGCACCACTGGCAACCAGAAGAGCAAAGGCAGAAGCCAAAGGGACGAGTTGGAGTGGCCCTGGTTGGCACAGACCCACAGGTTCAGTAGCTGGGACCTTCCTGGGCTCCCTGCAGAGCCCAGTGAGCACAAGGAACACAAAACCAAACTCAGAAAAAGAATGGAAACAGCCCACAGGCAGGTTCTGGTTTGGGGGTGCTCTCCAGACCCTCAGCAGGATGCCAGGTAGAGGACCCCCAACAGCTCACACCTCACCTCAGAGACCACCTCAGCGTGGGGGTATCACCCAAACTTCAAGACAAGGGAGGACAGGGCATGGGAACAGCACAGCACACTGCCCATGGCCTCACCAGTCAGAGGTTGGACTCGATGATCTTGGAGGTCTTTTCTAACCCCAGTCATTCTGGGATTCTTTATCTTCCTCTCACTGCCTGGTCTTTTTTTAAGTCAAATGCTGCAAACTTCTATTTCTTGAAACGTCTTTGATGGTTTCTTTGAAGGTTGGGTGAAACCAGTCAGATGTTTTTAGTTGCTTCTCCAGTGTCTTAAAAGAAGCTGATAACCAGATTAATACCTTGTTTTCTTTGATTTTTTTCTCCCATAGGTCAGCACCTCTTACTACCCTGCACCAGGACCTCTGGGGCCCTCAGAAACCATCATCACCCTTCCCCACCTGCAGCACCACGTGCCGGCTTACCTGTACGTAAGGAAGCTGAAATACTTCTGGGGGAAGGGGGTTGTAGTTCCCTGTACCTTCTCTCTCAGCTTGCTCCTGCCAGCCAGGAGGTGCAGGCAGACTGGAGCACAGATCCAAATGCAGATCCACCTAGGAACGTACCTGGCTGATCTTAGCAGGGGGTGGCAGAGACCTGTTGTCACAGCTGAGTTGTTCTATTCCCAGCAGGCAAACTATCCCTGCCTCTTACTCCTTCACTGCAGTATTTATGGACAAACAGTTCTGCCTGTTTGTCAACAATACACTTTAAATTTTTTTAAGAGTGAAGAAACTAATCACTCCTCAAGTGCCTCTAGTTATTTATTTTAAAACCTTCATGGCCATTGGTGTTTTGAACGATCCAATTTTTGAAAACTTTCCCAGAGTTAAAATTTGTGGACAACACGCTGTGATGATTTGTTTTCCTCAAGACAAGATTTACCAGCCTGGCGCTGTAGTAATGGACCTAAAATAAAAACAGCATCACAACACACTGTTTACCCAGCACTCAGTACCCACAGTGCCAAGCCAGGCTATGGGAACATTGGTGCCCACAAGCAGCACCCACAGCTCGGGCACCTACACACACCATCATAGGTCAGCCAAGATTCCTGCACACACTTAATGCCAAGGACAGGAAAACTCCTAAGACATTAAAATAATTTGCAGAATGAGGAAGGTATTAGAGGGTCCCACCAGCTGCCTGGTTTGCAGCTCCTTTCCAACCCTGCAGTATCAGACCAGCACCTGCAGGCCCTGCCTTTTTGAGGTGACTCCTATACAGCAATGAGCCACTGCAGAATGAGAACACCCTGACCCACCTGGGCTGTGCCAGTCCCCAGGGGAGCAGCCCCTCACACAGACTGGCCCTGCAGGTTCTGGGATAGCCCCTGACTGTCCAGACAACTAGTCTGTTGTTTCTATTTTGTAAATAACACCCAGTAATTGCTGTATCGGGCTGTAACTCATTGATACTTGGGAGCAGATCACATTCCCTTTGAAAAAAAAAACAACAGTGCAATTAAATGTGTTACACTGGAGACAAAATAAAGTTCTTTAAAGAACAAATAGGAGACAGTTTTGAAATATACACCACCTTCTTCTACTGCTGTTACACATGGGTCAGTCAGACCCCAGAGCTCCAGGATGCTCCAGCCACCCTGCACGGGGGCAGTTCTGCATTCCCTTATGTCCTCTTTCCCCAGGTGTGTGGCTCTCCACTCCTATGTGCCTCATGGACCAGATGAGCTGGAGCTGCAGAAGGGAGAAGGGGTCCGTGTCTTTGGGAAGGACCATGATGGCTGGTTAAGAGGAATGTCTCTCGTCACGGGCAGAGTCGGCGTCTTCCCCAGCAACTATGTGGCTCCCCTCTTCAGGTCTGCTTTTTCTTACATGAAACAAAAACACTTGGAGAGGGAAGAGGGTGGTCCCTCACCAGGCAGGATGGCACCCAGCAGCTCTCACCCTTCTTTTCCTTTTCCAACAGGAAATCTAGTCTCACTGACTCAAAAATGCCTTCTCTGTACACTTCATGGACACTGTCGACCTCCTCGCTCTCCTCCCAAGGGAGCATCTCCGAAAATGGCCTGAGGCAAAGCAGAACCCTGAAGCCGGTGCTGCTGCCCATCCCTATCCCCTCTCCGGGGAGGAGCACGGTGGGACCGGCACCGCTGCGGCGTGGCCGCGGCAGCGCCAGGAAGAGTAAGTGATTGGGGGGCTCTGGGAGGGAGAGCAGACACATTTCCCCAAAACTACACCAGCTGCTGCGGTTCGTGGCTCCACACCCCTGCTTGGCCCCACTCTGGCTGCTTTGGGAATCCCAGGGTGTTTGCCTCACCATGGAAAAACTCCTTGCAAAGGTTTATGCAGAGCTCAGTGGTTATATCCTTTCCAAGGAGGCTGCAAGAGTTATCGTCAGCCCATGCACCCTGTTTTAAAATACATTTCCAGGAGCGTGTGAGGAACCAAGTGGTGCATTCCTAGCACTGGCAGTATTGCTGGAGGCAGGCAGTGCCCTGGCAGGGGACACTGTCTGTGGTTTTAGACTCGAAATTGGTCGAATTGCTGCCTGCTAGTCCCGGTGCCTGGGGGAGGGCACGTGGCAATCCCTGGGAGCTACGGCCCCACAGCATCCTGTGAACACGGCTGTTCGTGCAGGGCTGTGACCACTGCTCACTCTGCCCCTTTGCTCTCTCTGTGCCATTTTGGATTTCTGCTGACTTTCTTTATCCATGGCTCCTTGCTCCCCAGATGGATCCCTGCAGAGGCCGGGGCAGGCAGGGACCCCCGTGCAGATCACGGGCTCCCTCAGGCGTCCTTCCGCGGCTGCGGGGCGACCTCAGCAGTTCCAGATTTACCCACACATCGGCTCCCCGTCACACAGCGTCCCTCCCGGAGCCGGCATGGATGAGGCAACGAGGCCAAACTTCTCCCACGAGGCTTCACCGGCGCTTGTGGTCAGGGGAGGGGAGAGTCGAACCCCCTCCGTGTGCAGCTCAGTGATCCTGGATGCCAAAGACCCTCCAGTGAAGAGTGAGGCAGCTCCAAAGCCGCCTGCGTCAGCCCCGCCGTCCATCCTGGTGAAACCAGAGACCTGCCGCAACAGCGCCGAGAAGGTACGGCCAGTGCTTCCCGGTGCTCCAGAGGGTCCCCCTCCCCTCGGAAACAGCAGTGTCAGCCAATACTGACCAGGGCCAAATCCCCTGAGGGCTTTGCTCCATCCTCACCAGGTTTTCTTTCAATAGAAATCACTGGGATTGGCACCTGCATTCAGAAATCAGGTATTTGTGTTGCTGACACTGCTGTCCAGATTAAGCCCTACAGGAAGGCAGGGGCTTTGTCCCTGTCACCAAGTTCAGTCACAAGCAAATATTGAGACCTTTCTGAGGTCTTAAATCAGAAAAGAATCCTATCAAAGTCTCCAAGAGTTTGGGAGGGAATGGGGAAATGCCACAGACCTGGTGTCAGGTCTTGCATCAGGCAGAGCTTTGCAGAGCTGCCTTATCTCCCTCATGTTGATTGGGCTGAGCTATTTGGAATGGGAATTTCTTTCCCCTCTGGCAGCCAGAGAGAAATTTCATAAAGGTGAAATCATTCTGTAAATTGCACTAGTGAAGCTTCCTCTTCCCATGATACCCAAAGAGGTGCCCAAATCACTCCACAAGCCCAGGCAGCCTCAAAGCTCCCAGGCAGCACAGCATCAGCTGAGAGAACCCGCATGTCTCGAGGGCAGGACAGGCTGCCCACCCTCCCGGTGCTGTGTTTCCTCCTGCTCCTTCCCTCCCGATAACTCAGTCGATGGCTCTCAGGACTGACTCTCCTTGGTCTCCAGTAGCCACCAGCACTCCCGTGCTGGTCCCTGGGTCTCCCTTCCACCTGCCATCGGCTGCACATTCCCCTGGGCTTCTCCGCAGGCATCCAGTGCCCCAGGAAGGATCCAGCCGCCCCCTCGGCACATCCCCCTTGGTTCTGCAGGGCTGGGCACAGAGGGGCGGCGGGCGGGGGGGCTGCTGTTCTCACCTGACCCTGGTCCCCTTCTCGCTGCAGCAAGTGAAGACGGTGCGGTTCCAGAACCACAGCCCTCCGCCGCCCAAGCGGCACAGCCTGCAGCCCTCGCCGCGCCTGCAGCGCGCCAGGACGGAGCCCGAGGTGCTGCTGCCCGAAGCCGGCCTGGGCCCCCGGGCTGCTCTACTCGCAAGCTGCTGCGCGCGCTGCACCCCAAGGCGCTGTCGCTGGACCTGTCGGGGCAGCTGACCTTCCCCGTCAAGAAGAGCTACAGCAGCATCTCTGCAAACTGACCGGGTAACCCCCGCCTGCCTCCTCCCCGCACCTGCTCCTCTCCCTCCCGCGCAGGACCCCGGACCCCGCACAGCCTCCACTGCTCCCCGTCTGCGCCAGGGGACGGTGCTCCCGCGTCCCCGCACCACCGGCACCCTCGGGACCTGAGAGCCTGAGGCCTCCAGAGCTGTGGGAGCCCCCGAGGGAGCCCCCCTGCCCCAGGGATGCCCAAGAACCGGGAGATGGGGCTCGAGGACTGACGTTTCCCGGTGTCGCTGCCTGTACGGCACCGCAGGATCGGCGGGACGGGAGGGAAGCCTGCGGGTGTCAGAGAGAGTTACACTTGTTTTGATCTTCTCAGGGCTGCAGGAAGCCCACAGAAACCTAACAGCGGGTCATTACCTGCCTGTCTCAGGATAAAGAAACCATAAATCAGAGTCAATCAGCTCCTGGCTGACGATTTACGCTGCCTTTGGGGGGGGTCACTTAGATTTTTTGTTAGGGTAGTTGCTTGCTTGCCTTTCTCTTTGGTTTTAGCCCAGGAATTTTAACTCAGAACAGTCTAAAAGGTGATTTGGAGAGGAAAAAGCCAATGGGAAGGGCCGTGCCATCACTGCAGTCACCCAAGCTCTGCAGTCAGGGCACTGAATCTTGCTTCTCCTCATTGCTTGGTTTCCTCTGATCACCTGTCAGCTACCTCCTCCCCATGAGCTCCCTCCAACCCCTTCCCACTGCCCACTCACTCAGATGTGGCTGTTGTAAATATCTTAAGTGGGATTCATGGGTTTCACTCTACATTCAGATGCATGAAACATCATCTATGTAACAGAAAGCAGAATTCAGCACTCCCTGTGCCCCAGACCACCCTCTGCCATGGCAGCACCAGCTCCAGTTTCCAAGCATCTTCCTGTGAATCCCAGGAAAGCCAGCAGAATCAGAGAGTGGTGCTGGCTCACAGCTGTGCCTGCTCTTCAGAAAACCTCTGCACAACAGATTTTGGGTTTCATACTTTGTTTCCATTGCTGGTTTATCCACCAGCAGTTCCCACCCCAGCTGCAGGCACCACCCACCACCTCTCCTGACAGTGGGAGCTGTGCTCCCTCCAAAACTGCCATGAAATCCCATCCTCAGTTACCTGCATACAGACCCAGGGAAGGAATTCCACTGGTCAATGGAAACTCTCTGAGGCCCTGGCATGGACCTCAGAGAAGGACAATTTCTCCTGGAACTAAGCGAAGGGAACGGATAAAATCAGTCACTGGGCCACAACCCCTGGTCCTTCACTCTTCCAGACTCTCTCTGTGGAACAGGAAGCTGGGCCTGCCTGTGGGGATTTTCAGGGGCACAACAACCACCAAGGCACAGATAAGTTCTCACCTTGTGCTCTCTGTCAGTATTTCAGCTCCTGCAGAAACACCCTGACAAGCTGAAAACGCGTCGTGCGTCCAGGTATAAAAGGTGGCACCAGCCACAAACAGGAAGGTGAGCACAACTCAGCAATGCCACCTCTCAGAGACAGCTCAACACCTCAGGGGAGACAAGCTGGTCCTCTGCTGAAGAATACTCTAATCCCTTTAAAGCTGAACCAGGAAGCAGCTGGCTCTGTCACCGAGACACGTCCACGTATCCCAGGCATACTCAGAAATAAACAGAATTCCACTCGATATTGGTGCTTTGGTAAAAGAGCAGGCAGCTATTTTGGGATGGATGCCTGTGTTTCACACGCAGGATATTTCAGAGCTGTGATGCTATGGTGATAAGTGCCCTAAATATGTTCAATATATGTAGGGAGACAGAACTAAAAACAAGATGTACTTTAAAGCTAAAGGCCCTAATAAGCCTCTTGTCCCCACAGACAGCCCTGCCCACAGGTTTCATGCCACAGCCCACTGAGCAGAACTGCCAAGTTCTCCTCACCTCCTCCCCAGCAGCACCTCCTCCTCTCCTCCTCCCCAGGAGGGAGCTCCTGGACTGTGTCACTTCACCAAGGAACATTCCAAGAAAGAGGGACAAGAACTCAGACCTCTTTCTTCCAAAAGCCCAGGCTAAAGCAGAACCTGCTGAGCTAATCCAGAGCTAAACTGTCATGATCCCCAAGTTAGGCAGTGCCCAACAACTGGTCCTAATCCATGTGGAGAAACCAGTCACACTGGGAGAGGCATCAACTGTCAAGGAGCAATTCCCCGAGTGCTCTGGGCCAAAACCATCTGTTCTGAAAGAATCACCCCATCCCCCTTAACTCTGCAACCAGAATCACCACACTGAGTTCCTGGCATATCAGCAAACTTCACATTTTTTGTTTCAGCTCTGGGCTGCAACCTGAAGTACACTGCATCTTCCCTGAGGATCTGCTCCAAACTCTGGGCCTTCAGGCTGCTGTCATCCAATTTTTTTTTAATAGTGTAGCAATGGAAAAGGAGGCATCACATGCTGGCAGGAGGGTGGCAGCTTCTCATGGAGGTGGGCGAGCTCTTCAAGGGTTTCTGTTCTTTTTATATATATTTAACTTCCCTCCTGCCTTCCCACCCTCCAGACTCTCTTCAGCCTGTTTCCTCAGTGAAGAGAGGTCAGACATCAGCATTGGGACCCTGTTTGGTCCTTCCCATATTGGCCAGGAGGGCCCTCTTTCCCCCCTGGATGTCATTCCTCTGTGCTCCCAGTGGTACAGAGGGACCAGTCCCATCCCCAGCCCTGCTGACCCTCCAGGCCTGCAGCCTCCTGTGCTGCCACAGACCATCACAGGGAGCACAGAGCACCAAGGAAACAGCATCAGAAAGGCAAGATGTATTTCTGTAATGAAAATACACCATTCTCTGCCATCCCAGACAGCCTGAGCCGGGCTCCAAACACCCCAAGCACCGTGTCCATCAGCACAGCTCAGGAATGGAGCTCTGGGAAAAGCATAAAGCAGCACGCAGGGACAGAGGCACCATTAATGAACCTCTCCAACTTCTTCAATTGGGCTTATTTTCTATCTGCTCATTCCTTATGATTAGTTAATGAATTAGAGCCCGAATCAGATCACTCATCAGCTGCTTTAATTGCCTGCCCAGCCTGGCAGAACCCTGGGAGTGCTTTAGCACACAGCCTGCCCCCGAGCCTGGGCTGCAGTCCTGCTTCCTGATAAATCATGAGCAGAGGCAGCAGAAAGTAAGAAAACAAAGCATTCACTAATTCTCTCCACATCTTCCATGTGGAGGGGGCCTCCCTGCTCTGGGCACAAACACCTTGTCTCGGACATGGGAGGATGCAGAGGAGCCCCCTTTCCAGTCCATCCTGGGGCTGGAGTGTTGGGCCCAGAGGCCCTCCACCTGCCACAAGAAAGGTGTCACAAGGATGATGTTCAGTCTCAGGAGGGAATTCTGCAAGGAATTCTGCAGAATTGGACTGGCTGCAGCATCGCTGCACACCACTCTCCTGTTCACTCCCTGCCCAGCAGTTATTGCAGTTCATTTGTGCAACGATGTGTTTGAAGTGCAATCACAGCTCAAGACTTCAGGTTTTCAGGTTTTTTGCCATAAGCCTCAGTACCTGCCCCTTTTACAAAGTAACATTTCCAAATATTCATGAAATCAGTGTTTAGAACCCCAAACTGTCCATGAAGTGATGGGGACTTACCAGTGAGGTCCGTGGGAGCTCCACAGGCTGATCCCTTCATACCTGTTCCCAGTGGGAAGCAATGATGGATCAGAGACTGCAGTGTCAGGCTGGTGAGGACTGCAGGGGTAACAAAAGGAGAAAAAGATCTATTTATACCAAAGTTCCAGCCAAAAAATGTTTTAAAGGCAGAAGGGGTCAACAAAAGGAGCTTCCCTGATCCCCTGTGTGACCAAGCAGGGAATTTCACTGAGTTCTTTCTGCACTGAGCCCAGGGAATGCTCCAATGAAATGTTACAACCAGGTCACTATCAGTGAGAAAACAGAAATTACTATTTTTACATGTATAACTTAGAAATAGTAGGATATATAACCTTTGCTTAGTTGGTGATGGGTAGAAGGAATAAATACATTTAGTTTATTGTTCAGGAACACTTGTATAAGTTCAGGGATGCTGAATACTTTTTCCATGAAGTGAAGTTCATTTTTTAAAAAGATTTTTTTCAACTTAAGGTACTATTTGGGAGAAAAGTCAATAAACAAGAAAATATTAGTTTCCTGTTTTGTATTAATCCTCAAGCTATTTATTTTGTATTTCTGTAACGAAAAGCAAAGGTTTAAAGATATTTTAAGTTTTGAGAAGTTTATTCATCTAAGTTTATAGCACTAATGTTTACCTCTGTAGCCTGTAGGTAATTAAATTAATTGGGGCCAACTGGGTTGTGGCCCCTCATGCACTGGAAGCCGTGGCAGCTGCAGTGAGTGGCAGCGTGAGGGCACTGCCAGCACAGTTGGGCCACTTGGGGGGAACTGGGGGAGGGCATCAGGGGGACACTGGGAGAAACAGGGTGGGGAACTGGGGGAAACACGGGGCTTAGGAAAGCTTTGGGCACCCGCTGCGTGAGGCTCACGAGCCCATGGGGGCTGCTGTGACACCATTAAAACTTTTTGCATGAAAAAAAAAACCCCATGAATGTTTATTTTCACTTTCTTATTTCAGGTTTCACACCCTCGGGAACAGATGGCAAGGGGGGGGTTACCTGGGTGAGGGGGGGGGTTACCTGATTCCAAGGCCAGGAATCCGGGCTCTGCCCTCCTGCTCATGGCCAAGTTCCAGCTCAAGCTCCCAATGCTACTTTTGAGGCTCTTTGCCCCCATCAGGAACCAACAGGTAAACAGGACGATGACATTTAGCATTTCTTGCCTCTTTCTTTTCAAAGTGCTTGGAAACCTCTGGCCAAGAGGAGAGCACAGCACTTCACTCTGTTGTAGAAGTGAGTCCATGGGGGCAGGGACAGCCGGGGTGCAGGCGTGGGGTCCTGGGTGCTATTTCCAGTCCCAGCCCTGGGTGATGCCCTGTGCCCCCCCCCCGTGCTATCAGCACCTCAGATGAAGAATGAGGGGGTCACAGCTGCCCTCCCAA